CAGGCCAGAGGCTCAGGGGCGGTGAGAGGCTTCACCAGAGACAGAGTGGGGAACAGAACAGGCAGGTCGATGAAGTACACTGCTGAGGGGAGCAGCGGGAGGGTCAGGAGAGGTCTGCCAGGCCATGTGGTCACCTCCGGGGCAGGCAGGAATCGAACTCATGAGGAAGTGGCTCTAGATTCTCAGTGCTGTGCTTTAACCCGCTGCGCCACCAGGGAGGGCCCCCCTCTTAAGATTTTGTCAAAGAAATTAGATTAAGCCTAACATGTGATAAGTATTAGCAATTATCGATCACTATGATCAGAAAAATATTCCCCAACCTGAAAAAAATGGGAAGACAGAGTTCTAGATCAGTTTATATAATTTCAATTTAGCTGAACTTAAATTTTCTGGCATTTTGGACATGTGTTTATCTGTATCCACTTTGTTAATTCAGCAATAAATGATTGTTTATCATAGAGTAGGCAAGATTGACTGCCATTTAGATCAGATATATTTTGGAGACAGCAGGTGGATGGAATCTCTTCATCCATGGTCACTGTCACTGCCTCCATACCTGGATCAGGTCAGGGAGTCCTAGGCAATATGCTCCCCTTTTCTGTAACATGATGTGGTCAAAAACAGGGACAAAATGATTCATAAAGAACTTTTGACACTAAGCTTCCTCTAAATGGTTAGAAGTTCAACCATAACTGAAAAACTATTTCAGATGGGTTTTTATAATAAAGATACTTACATTGTCATGGAACAAGATATTCAGAGGTAGAGTAGTCTTCAGAACTGGCTGAACTAGCTACACAACAACTCAGCATTTATGTACTGAATTATTGCTAACTCTTTACCTGCCATTAACAGAGTTGACTTCTGATTCCACTGGAGGTAAAGATAAGTAACAAAAAAGCAGCAGGAGCCATTTATTCACTTTTCATTTCCACTGGTTTCTAGTTTTGTTTTTTTTTTTTTTTAACTTGTAGGTATTTTTTTTCTCCCTCTCAGAAACCTGCAACAACCATCTTCTCCAGTCAGTTTGGCTAGAATTTTGTCATATGCCCAAACCCAAGTGAGCAAAACATATGGAATTGCCAAGGGACCAATTTAGTGCACACTTTGAGGTGAGATCTCTTTCCACACTGCACTTATTTCTCAACAGGAGTGAGGTGAGATGGATGCTGAGAAATCACTATACATTCATTAAAGGAATTTAATGATAACAAAAGAAAACAGCAATAATATTAATTCATACTTTCCATTGTGATTTTTGGACTCTTTTATTTAGAAATATAAAATAATAACATTCATTTGTAATGTTATTTCACCTTGTCTTCTTGTGGGTAAATTTTGTTTGTATGTTTTCTTTAATTCACATGTAGCAATTGCCATATAACATTATAGTCATAGAAAAACATAGTTATTCAAAATTTGTATATATTGCAGCAGGAGTATAAACGACCAGCGGGAAAAATAATATTAATAAACAATGATATATCAGAGACATTTTACAGGGGTGGAATGGAGAATGGGATAAAAAATGGTGGTGGCGGGCATTGCACTGGATTTGGTGATGGCACATGGGTGATTTGGAGATGGGAAGACCATGGGGTTTACAGCTGAGATGGAGAAAGGCACAAAATGGTGTAAAAATGAACTATTATATTACTAAAAATATCGCATATATTGCAAAGTTATAAAAACTAACATCCATCACCACACAAAAGTACAAATTATTTTTCTTATCTGAGAACTTTAAATATATACTCTGTTAGCACCATTCAAATAAACAGCACAGAATTATTAAGTATAGTCACCAATCTGTACATTAGAGATTGACTCATTTTTTATGACTGGGAATTTTTCACATTTTCGCTCTTTATGAGCTCTGTTTTAGATTTGTGTTTAGGTTCCACATCTAAGTGAGATCATAAAATATTTGTCTTTTTCATGTCTGATTTATTTCACTTAACACAATGGGCTCAGAGTCCAGCCAAGTTATCAAAAATTGCAAGAGTTTCCATTTTTTTTTTTTTGGTAGCTGATTAGTATTCTATTTTATATATACAATCATGTGTCCTTGAAGACATTTTGGTCAAGGATGTACTGCATATACCATCATGGTCCCAATAGGCTATATAGACTAAATCTGAAGTAGACTATACAGTCTGGGCTTGTGTAATTACATTCCATGACAGTACAAAGATCAAATCACCTAATGATGCATTTCTTTCTTTCTTTCTAAAGATCTATTTATTCATTTATGCATACAAAACTGGGGTACAGGCCAGAGGTGCAGGGGCAGTGGAAGGATTTACCAGAGACAGAGTGGGGAGCAGAACAGGCAGATCTACTAGAATACACTGCTGATGGGAGGCAGCAGGCAAGACAGGAGAGGTCTGCTGAACTATGTGGGTCACCTCCCTGGCCAGGGATCAAACTCACACTGAAGCAGCTTTGACTAGCTTCACAGTGCCGCACTTTAACTCTTTGCACCACCAAGGATGACTCTAATGATGCATTTCTTAGAAAATAGCCCCATTATTAAGCACCACATCCCCACACACCAGGATTGATTTATTTATCATCTGTCCATCAGTGAATATTTAGTTTGCTTCCATGTCTTAGCTATGATAAATAATGCCGCAGTGAACATAGGGGTGCATGTATCCTTGGGGTTAATATTTTTTATTCTTTTGGATAAATACTCAGAGGTGGAATTGCTAAATTGCATATAGTTCTATTTTTAATTTTTTGATGAAGCTCCATATTGTTTTCCATAGAGGTGGCATCAACTGATATCCCACCAACAGTGTGAGAAGTTCCCTTTTCTCTATATCTTGCTAGCACTTATGTTTTTGATAATATCTCTTACAGGTATGACATGATGTCTCATTGTGGCCTTGACATGCATTTCCTTGATGATTTGTGATGTTGAACATCTTTTCATGTACCTGTTGACTATCTATACTGTTTGGGAAAATGTCTATTTAGATCCTTTACTCGTTTTTAAATTCAGAGAGCTTGTTCTTTTGCTATTGAGTTCTTTATATTTTTAAATACTAGCCCCTTATCAGATATTGATTGACAAATATTTTCTTCTGTTTGGTAGGTTGTCTTTTCATTTTATTGATGGATTCTTAGCTGTACAGAAACTTTCAGTTTGATGTTTTCCCTTTTTGGTTTTGTTGCCATTGTTTCTGGTGTCAGATCCCAAAATCATCACTGTGACTCAAAGCAAGGAGCTCACTGGCTTTTTTCTTCCGAGTTTTATTATTCCAGGTCTTTTATTCAAGTGTAGTTCATTTTGAGTTAATTTTGTACAGTGAAAACCAGTAATTCAGTTTCATTCTTTTGCTTGTATTTGTACATCACTTATTGAAGAAGCTATCTTTCCCCCACTGCCCTGTACAAATGG